CCCTTTTCTGATGAAGGGTCTAGGCCCGAAACGTCAGCCTCTCTGCTCCTATGATGCTGCTTGGCCTGCTGTGTCCATCCAGCCCTGCACCTTGTTGTCTCGGATTCTCCAGCATCTGCAGTTCCTACTATCTCCGCGCCAGTAAGAGTTAACCAGTTCTTCTTGGCAGCTTTGGAAGATGAACGTCTAGCAAAATCTCGTGTGAAGTGCCAGTGAGGTGGCCATCCATCTGCCCAAATTCATTCATTTTGCGAGTGGCAGAAAAGGTGGCAGTATTTTTGCACTCATTAGAAGTCGTATTATAATTTTAACTTGTCACCTATTGGCGTATTAGTATGTCCGATGCCATCTATCGCAAGGTTTCCTCAAAGGGAATTTAGCAAGAATCTTCTGGCAGTCTCCCAGCCGGGTGCAGCTGTACTCCAAATGGGCTCACTTAGGTCACATGGGGGATCAGTGAGGCCCAACATTTGCGACAATGCCTGGTCCCAGAGGAAGAGTATTGGCTATGCTGTCGCATCCCGAACGCTTAAAGGAAACTGATATTTGCACCAAATATAATGTTTAATGTTCTGTTGATTGAGAAAGTTTCTGCAGATGAGAAAGTTACATATATCCAGTCTATTCAAGACAGCCGATGGAGGAGAGCAAGGAATTACAATTGATGGGCAACATGACCAAAGATGTTCAAAGGTTGCATTTTGCAGAGGGAATCGACATACAGTTCGAAATGGTAAGACATGCCTAATGAAATTCAATTTGTTTTTCCTGATATGCTTGAACTGATGAGCACAAGTTCTTTTTCATCGTATTTTCCCTAAGTAGATTAAGTGACGAAGGAAAATACAAGGAACACAGCATGGTTTATCAAGTATCAAACGCTCATATGCCGCATTTCAAAAATGATGTAACAATTTGTGCAATCTAAAAGCATTCTGTAAGAATTTAAGATTGTGGATTTTGTCTCAGGCTTGTATGAATCAATGACTTCCAGTGGTAACCAGACCAAACTAAATGGGTTCAAATTGGGAATTGGACTGATGTTCGTGTAGAGAAGTTAGTTCATGTTTATCCAGTAAACAGAAATCCTTAATTACATATTTTGTTACAGATGCACATTAGACTTCCTGGAATGAGGCTGCTTTCTATACCTGCAAAGAGTATTGTAGCACTTGACTTCATCTGTTTCAATTTCTTTGTTGGGCAGCTTCAAGGATCAAAGAGGCAACTGTCTTGTCACCGAGTATGCAGCGTCAACAGATCTTGTTGTGGTATTGTGATTGATAGTTGGGGTTGGGGATAGGGCGTGGAACAAAGAGGAAAGCAACGTGACAAGATGTGTTCGAGTTGGAAAAAGTGATTAAATATGCAACTTCGTTGCTTTTTGAAGATTCTGGCCAGCTTCGGATCAGAGTAGCCATTTGAGATTGATCTGCATGGCTATATTGACAGGTAGATCAGGCTTGAATGGCTATGGGGCCTACTCCTGCTTCATATTCTATGTTTCTATGAGCTGTAGAATGCCTCTCTGAGGATGAACGAATTTGGAGAAACTTTGGCATTGTTTCCATGCACATGGGGCTCAGAGGAATTCTTCTGCAACTAAGCATATGTCAGATGAGGGCTGACTCATATGGAAAACATTTGGAACGAAAAGAAAATTGAATTTTTATTTTCTCAAACAACTGATAGTCTTTCAGTGAATGTTTTAGGCGCCCATGTCAAATAGATGTTCAGGATTCAAAATCAGTTCAGTTGGAGGAGAACAGGCGTTGAAGCAGTTCGAGTTTTAAAAGATTTGGAGGACGTTCCAAGGCCAGATCTTACACGGAGAAGATTCGAAGTCCATCATGAGGAACGTAGAGATTTAATGAACTGTTATGCTGTTATGACTGTTTCCATTGCCTTCCGTGTTTGTGTTGCTGAGAAATTCAGGTAAATTCATGAGGTCTGGCTTGGTTGCATCTGCTATTTGATTTTCAAGTACAGTGGATTTCTTTTTATCTCAAACATTTCATAAGCTCATTCGATTAAAGAATTTCAATTAAGATGAACATTTATGTTTCAAATCAATACATTATTTTGGGTTTTCCTTTAATCTCTATTGGTGAATAAAGGATTAAGCTGCTTGCTTAAACATATTACCGAGCCTAACATAAATTGCATTAACAAATCTTCCTAAATCCTTATGGTTGTAGTACACTGAAAATATAGACTATCAATAGCAAATAATGTAAATGCAATTCTGATTTTGAAACTGTGACTTGTTGGTGATTGTTCTGAAGATTATTAATGGATACTGGGAAACGTATTTGGATTCAAACCATTCATAAGTCAATAAATCGTGAATGATGGAAGCTGCTTCAAGATTTGAAAGTCCTATGGATTTTTCTTGATTCATGTCAGTTGACATTCCAATAACAAGAAGTAATCTTCCAGGAATGAGTGTAATCTTTAAAGCAGTCATATCCAGTTACGTTAGGTCAGTGGTTCCAACATTGTTGGATTTCGTCTGGAGCAGAAGATAATGCCCGTAACAGTACAACAACAACAAATGCTCTATCCTCCAGTTTGAATGATCTCTAACTTAGGGAACAATTTGAAACAAAAATTCGGCAATGAAAGAGGCATCTCCTTCATTAAATTCCATTGCCTGCCTGTAACTATAGAGAAAACTTTTCTGTACATGCACGATTTTAACTTGCCATTTTTACACGTTTTAAGGGAAGAATAATTTTGCAGATTATGTAAAGCAGTATGTTTCACAATGGATAATTGCATGCAATTAATGAATGAAGTTTGTAAAAAAAAGTTTGCCTTGCCCTACACAGAATCATGGGAGTTTACAGCACAATAAAAAGCCCTTCAGCCTATCAATTCTCTGCCAAACAAAAGTAACCACCAAACTATCCTAAGCCAACTTTGTAGAAAGAAGGCCATAGCCTTGCTAGCTTTGGTATCTTAAAACGGTATGACAATTTCTGAGCCTACAACTCATACAGCCAGTGAGTTCTAGATTAAAACTGATATTGAGTAAAAATAAAATAAAATTCCTCACATCCTCTGTAAATCACCTGATTTTCAAATTAAATCTAAGTCTCATTGTTATTGAACTCTCCACGAAGGATAAACATTGTTTCTTGCCCAACCCAGGAGCATCGTGTTAAATATCCTTTGCACCCCCTCCAGTGTATCCAGATCCCTTCTGTAATGTGTATTGCAGAACTGCACGCAGTAAGCTGTGGTTAAGCTGTGGCTTAACCAAGTTTGTATTCAGTTCGAGCATAACCTGTTTGCTCCTAAAATCTTGATTCAAAGGCAAATATCCCGGATGTTTTTCGAATTCTATTGCAGATCTATCCTATAATGTTCGGAAACAATGCCATTAAGATTTTTCTTATCCTCGGTATTCTCCAGCATCCTACCATTCAAGTATATTCCCTTGTCTTGTATGTCATGTCCAACTGCTTCACGTCATACCTATCCAGGTTGAATTTAATTTGACACTCACGAGCCTTATTGACTAGTCAGTCGATATTCTCCTGTAATCTAAGGCTATCCTCATCACTTCTTACCATCCCACTAATTTTCGTTTCATCAACAAAATTAGTATTCAAACCTCCTACATTAAACTCTATGTCGTTTTTACATACCAGGGACATCACAAGAAAAAAAAGACAATCACTGTATGTTTTCTGTTATGGTGCCAATTCGCAAACTTTCCATGGTTCCCATTCCATCCATATACGTCTTGGAACATTATCAAAAGCCTTGCTGAAGTCCAAGTCAACTACGTTGAATGCAGTTCCCTTGCCTAAACACCTCCTTACTTCTTCGAAAAATCGAAGCAAGTTGGTCAGGCATGACCTCCCAATAACAAAATCATCTTGACTGTTCTTGATTAATTCCTCCCTCTCCAATTGAAGATTAATTGCATCCCTCAGAATTGTTTCAAATAGTCTCCCCACCACGGAGGTTAAACTGACCAACTTGCAAATTCCTGGTTTACCCCTTGCTTCCTTCTTGAATAAGAATACCACATTGGCTGCATTTCAGTCCTATGTTGCTTCTCCTGTGGCCAGTGAATTATTGCCAATTATTACCAGAGCCACTTCTACCTCTCTCCTTGCATTTATCGTCCCTTGATATTCATGTATTTACTAGACCACTC